TACATGCAATTTCAGCCACCTGATATTTGACAAAGTTGCCAAGAACACACAATGGAGGAAAGACAGCATCTTCAACAAATGGTGCTGGCAAAACTGGATCTCCACCTGTAGAAGAATGAAACTAGATCCTTACCTTTCACCTTGCACAAAAGTCAACTCCAAATGGATCAAAGACCTCAATGTGAAACTGGAAACCTTGAAACTATTAGAAGAGTATATCGGCAGTAACTTACAGGATATATAGGTCTAGGAAAGGATTTTCTAAATCAGACAGAAGGTGCTCAGGAATTAAAATCAGCAATCAGTAAGTGAGACCTTGTTAAACTAAAAAGCTTCTGTACAGCAAAAGAAAAAATCAAAACAGTGAAGAGAAAACCCACAGAATGGGAAAAATCTTCACCAGTGATACATCTGACAGAGATTTAACATCCAGAATATATAAAGAACTCAGAAAAACTTCCTTCACCACACAAGGGGAGCCTGAGGTAGGCTAGAAGTCAGCACTCTCTACCAATCTGCTGAGATCAGAGCTGCTATACTGATGGAGGTTGAAACCCACCCTCTCAGGCTGTCTGCTAGGATCTCAGCCTTAGCCTACCAAAGCTAGGTCTGCCCTGGGTCCTTGCAAGGGGCCTCCTAAAATCCCAGGTAGAGGGATGGGTATGGCGCAATTAGGGGAAGCTCACCACTACGTGGAGGCCGGATCTGGGGTCTCTCAGGCAGTTCCCTGCTTTCTCAGGTCCTCTGTCAGAGGGAGGCCAGAGGGAGGCCAGAACTCGGCACCCTCCGGCAGTCTGCTGAGATCGGAGTCGGAGCTGCTATATGGATGGAGGTTGAAATGCACCCTCCTGTTTTCTTTTATTATACTAAGTGAAGTAACACAGACTCAGAAAAACAACGATGTATGTTCTCCCTCATATGTGGATCCTAGCACCAAATCCTTTTAAATTCCAAGTCCTTTTAATAAGATGATGATATACAGCAGTCTCTTCAGCATGAAATAACTACCATCATCATGACTTTGGCTGAGCCTGATCGCTAAACATAGTCACAATTGGGCTTGTGCTCATTTATTAAAGGAGGGCCAAGCAGGGCCACTGCACCCCCCCCTGAGTATCCAGCCACTCTTCCCAACCAACTAGTCCAGCCTTGGAAGAAAAAAGAAAAATGAGGATGAACCCAATAGAGGGATGCTTTTGGAAGCCCTTGTCAAGAAACTCCAATGGACTTTCATATGAACACTTGAAAATTGCCCCATTCTGACTTTTTTCTAGTTCCCTGTCTAGAGCTTATAATGCTAATTACTCTTGCCTTTACTTGTCCTTCACATCTCCCATTCTTGATTCAAGGACTTTCTTCTCCCCTTAGAGACAAGAGTTATGCAATTTGGGAGTCTTTTTGATAGACCCACTGGAGGGGTACTCTAATTGCCTCACCCTGTGTCCCTGTTCAGCATGGAAGAAGCCAGAGTGGTCCCTATTCCCTATTGGCAATTTGGGTAAACACTTCAGAGGATGGTGTGATAAGAATACGAGGTAGGTCTGTGTCCGTATTTCTTATTGGCAATTTGGGTAATCTCTTCAGAGGATGGTGTGATAAGAATAGGAGGTAGGAATTGGTTGGCAGTTAGGGTAAAAAGACCCCAAAGAAAAGTAGCCAGTTTCTTGGTTTAAAGTCAAAATGTCCTTGGGCCTGTGAGCAACATACTCTATTCCAAGGCCAAAATTGTCAAAAGTATTTGGGAGCTTATAACTAATCCTTAAAAGATTTTAAGGTTACCTCTTCAGAGGGGGGAATGTTGGAGGGGAGGGAATGGGCATGGATTTGATCAAAACACCTTATATGCATGTATGAAATTCTCAATAAAGTTTCCTAAAAAATTTTTTAAAAAAGAATCACAGAAAGATGGACAGCAAATGAAGTACAGGTCTTAGTTATTCCAAAGCTGAAAGGGGCCAATTTTATGATACTCTAAAAACTATTCATAGCTTTCAAGATTGTGAGTGACATGAAGATTCTGAAATGTGAAATCACATTATAGGCACACTTTCATGCCTCTTTGACAAAGAAATACTAGCAGGCTTTAAAAGTAAATAACATAATCATAAAGGCAAGAAACAAAAGAAATTATACTAATAAAAAATTTATACTTGGAAAAAAGTAATCTCCACTTAAAGGGACACAGTTCTAGAGTAGAGAATTCCATGAAGCACGAGGATCAGTGTTTTTTAATATTTTATTTAATAATTTTATTTTATGTCTGTGAGTGTAGAGCCTGCATGTATGTAAGTGCACCTGTGTCATGCAATGCTTGCAGAGGTCAAAAAGGGCATCAAATCCCCTGTAACTGGAGTTACAGATGGTTGTTAGCTGCCATGTGGGTGCTGGAAATTGAACCCAGGTCCTCTGCAAGAGCAGTCAGTGCTCTTAACTGCAGAGCCATCTCTCCAGCCCCAAGGATCAGTCTTAATAGTTAGTTAATCCCTGCCTAATTCAGGGAGCATTACCCTGCCTTTCTTTTTTCTGAGTAAAGACAATAAACATTTTCTAATAGTCTGTATTTTTATATGTGGATAAACCTAAAAATGTTTTCATTTCTTATGAAAATTTACTTTATCATTCTTGTCAGTAAGTAGAATCTGTGATGGTTTAATGTTATTTTCTATTACAAATGTTGGAAATTGTAAGAACAAACAGTCTTCTGTGTCATCATGTCACAAAAATAAAAATTGCTTAACAGGCCATTCTGATAATCAAAATCAAATGCTAAGGTACAAGAACCAAGGCCAAAACATAAAATAGAAAAATGCAAAGATACACTTGTTCACATTGGGAAAGAAAATTGGATTAAAATCTTAATGGCCACATATCCCACAAAAATTCCATTGTTTGGTTTCCTTTTTAAAAGAACTAAAAGTTTGGGCTGTATAGGTGGCTCAGCACTGACTGCACTGACTGCTCTTGTAGAGGACACAGGTTCCATTCCCAGCACCCACATGGCGGCTAACAACTGTGAATAACTCCAGTTCCAGGGGATCCGGCACCTCTTCTGATTCTGCAGGCATTGCCCAACAGGGGTACACATGCATTCATGCAGGCACTACACTCATGCACATATAAATAATAAATAAAATATTTAAAATAAATACTGTAATCATGAAGGATAGAAAACAAAGGAAAAAGTGAAGGGGGGGAAAGAAGCCATTGCCAACCCACAAAATACTTGTCAAAATGTGCTCTATTCAGTTCAAGGATCCACATGGATAGTAGGAAAAAATCCTAGTGTTTTATCAAACAGACAACTATGAGTGACAACAATTAATGAATATTTTATCATAGCTAGTGGAGAACAACTTGAATGTACCCCAGCATAAGAAATCATAAATCCCAGAATTCATACATACACCAAGAACTATGATCTAATAATCACACAATGTATACATGCATTGAAATACTATACTGTATCAATAAATACATAAAAAATAATATGGACTAGAAAAGGAATGAGAGAATAAACCAAGGAAGTGTGTTTTGTCCTAGAATAAGTATGAAATTATTGTACTTTGCATTTGCACCTGGATTCAGCCAACTAATTTTTCAAACCAATGATGTGCATGAATAACATGGATACAAACATGTTCCACAAGACTGACCATGGATATGTGACCTCTTTCTTAGACTACTACAAAAAAAAATTTGAGGAATGCTAACTACTGAGGAGAAACTCACAGAGAAAGATCTGTCGACTTCTTATATTTTCTGTGCCATAAATAAAAATCCTAATGAAAACATAATCCATTTCAATTAGCACAAAACAAGACATTTTTAATATTTGTGATTCATCGTTTCCCCTTTTTGCCCCATAACTTCTTCATGGAATTTTTCATTTCTACATTTCTGAGCGTGTAGACAATGGGGTTCAGCATAGGGGTGATCACTGTGTAGAACACAGCCATAAGTTTGTCCACAGTGAAGGTGGAAGAGGGTCTCATGTAGATAAAAGTACCAGGTCCAAAGAACAAGATGACCACTGTGATGTGAGAGGCACAGGTGGAGAGGGCCTTACGCCTCCCCTCTGCAGAGTGGTTCCTCAGGTTAGACAGGATGATGACATAGGAGGACACCAAGATGAGGAGTGAGAAGACAGAGATTAAACCACTGTTGGCCATCACAATAACGCCTTCCATGAAGGTGTCAGTGCAGGCAAGCTTGAATAGTGGCTGGAGGTCACAGAAGTAGTGGTCAATCACATTGGGACCACAGAAGGGCAGCGGAATGGTGATGAGAATCTGGATTATGGAATGAATGAAGCCTGCCAGCCAGGAACCAGACACCAGCATGTGACACACTGGACGACTCATTATGTTCATGTAATGAAGAGGCTTGCAGATGGCCACGTAGCGGTCATAGGCCATCACCACAAGCAAAAGGACCTCAATAACCCCAAAGAAATGAGAGAAGAATATCTGAGCCAGACAGCCCTTGAGAGAGATGGTTTTAATTGTGGCAAGTAAGTCAGTGATGAACTTAGGGACAATGGTCGAGGAATAACAGATCTCCACCAGGGACAGGGAGCTGAGGAAGAGGAACATAGGGGAGCGCAGACTCGGGCTGATGCTGACTGTCACAACAATGAGGCCGTTGCCCACCACCGTGGCCAGGTACACAGGAAGAAACAGCGTAAAGCACACCCTCTGCACCTCTGGATCCTGGAAAAGGCCGGTGAAAATTAACTCAGTCACATTATTTGTGTTGGCCATGGAGTCAGCTCAAGTGCGTTGGTGGTGGGATACCTGCAAGAAATTCAAAGATTTTTAGCACCAATTAATTTGATCAAAAGTATTCTGCAGAACACAACCTAGTTTACTATATATTTACTACTCTATCATTCCTTTAGCCAGTATCTTCTCATTCAATATAGTTTGTGTATATATGTGCGTTTCTTATTTTTGAGAATTATCTTTGCACTATTTCCATCCCTCCCAGTCCCCCACCAACTCCTCCCATTTTGTCTTATACTTTATTATTATTAAATATATACATGCATTTATATGTATAATTATATATATTTATATATATAAAATAAACTCGATCCATTTAGTGGTGCTCTCATGTATACCTGTGTTTAGGGCTGCCCACTTGGGATAGTCTCTCAGAGAACTGATCCCTGGAGAAAACAGATTCTCCCTTCCTCAGCATCCTTTGCTTGTAGCTCTTCATCTTGGGGTGGGACTCTGTGACATTCCTCCATCCACCTTGGCATGTCTTCTGGTTTTGTCATTATCCAGATCTCATTAGACTACAGTACTGTGGATATTTCATTAATGCAACTTTCCCGTCATGTCCAGAATTCACTAACTAGTAGCAGGTGTCTTGTCCCTTTGGCTTTCTCATTCATAATTAAATATTAGTAGTCTTTCTGTGAGATCAAAGCCAGCCTGTTCTACATAGTGAGTTTCAGGCCAGCTAGGAATTTAGGGAGATCCTCTCTCAAAAAATTTAGTAGTCTAATGCTTTTATTTATTTTATTTAATAGCAGAATATGGAAAGTCAAGGACATATCACATAGAAATATGACTCAGAATGTATCTTGCTAACTTTTATCATAGGTGTCTTTCTAACTCATCACAAGATATTCTAAATTTAGGTAGTCAAGATAGATGGATAGATAGATCGATGATTGATAGATCAATAGATATAGATACAAAGATATATACATAGATAGATAGATAGATGATAGATAGATAGATAGATAGATGATAGGTAGATAGAAGGTGATAGATAATAGATAGATGATAGATAGATAGATGATATATAGATAATAGATAAATGATAGATTAGTAGATATAGAGATGATAGATAGATGATTGATAGAGAGATAGATGATGATGGATGATGATAGATAGATGATAGATAGATGATAGATAGATTAGATAGATAATAGATAGATAGATAGATAGATAGATGATAGACAGACTGATAGATAGATGATAGATAGATAGATAGATAGATAGATGATAGATTGATAGATTAGATGATAGATGATAGATAGATAGATAGATAGATAGATGATAGATAGATAGATAGATAGATAGATAGATAGATAGATAGACATATAGATAGACAGACAGATAGATGATAGATGATAGATAGATAGATAGATGATAGATAGAATAGATAAATAGATGATAGGCAGATGATAGACACATAGATGATAGAAAGTAAATAGGTAGGTAGATAGATGAAAGATGATAGAAGGTAGGTAGATGTTTGCATTACCTTCAAGAAATTTAATAGCTCTTCCTTTTGAGCCATCTCTTTGACACAGCTCCAGTCCAGTTCTTTATGTCCTTCTTCTGTGACTTAGAGAATGTCCATTTTCTGTTACTACATCTGAAACATAGCCTGGTAATTCATAATGAATACCATTATTAGCACAGAGTTCTGCAGGTTCAGAAGTCCCCAACAAGGCAGAGAGATCTGCTCAGCAGCTAGGGGTGGCCTTCTCTCTGTGTCATGGCATGGCAGAAGCATCAAGTGATGAGACAGAGGAAGCATACCAAGGAGAGCTCCTTTTTATAACAATTCCACTCCCTCAGTCATCCAACATACTAATTAATGAATGGATTAAAGCATCATGATGCAATCACCAACTAGAGGTCAAGCCTTCAATATTATAAAGTTGCCAGAAAATCCAACTACACCACAGCAGGAAATACTCTCACTGTTCTTTCTCCCTTTCCCCCATGTCCTCTGTGCTGTCTCCTTTCCTTGGTTTGTGCCAGTCCTCACTTTACTCAGGGCAGAGCCTTTCACGAGTCTATTTGTATCAATGAATATATCTCCATGACAAATGTTCACATCTCTGGAGTATTGAACTGACCAGATTTTCCATACTACTCTGCAATCATATCTCACCATCTATCAGAAAAATGATCAAGAAGTACCCATTATGAGAAGACAGGATTTTTCAGTAGCCAAGTGGGATCAGGTATGTGGGAACAGCAGAGAGAAGATTACTCAGAAAAAAGACAGAGATGATGAAATGGGAAAGGCTGTGATTAAAGAGACCAGCTATTAGGTATTCCTCACATTCCAGATGAAGCACAGAAATACTGGACCCTAAACAATTCCCCTCTAGATCCCAAATGATGTCTGAAATTTGAAAAACCTATTCTAAATTCATCTACAAGAAAAATATACTTAAGGCAGCTTTAAACATACTAAAAATGACTGATGAAATGACTTTGTCATTCATATATCTGGGAAGGACACAATATCTAAAGAAGACAGATATTGGACAAGAAATAAATAATTATATTAACTTCAAATTTGACATAATTATACACAGGTATTTATCGTAACAAAGTAGAAACAGAATGTTCAAAAATGTTGGGAAAATTAGTATATTGGGGAAAAGTTAAAAGTAGCAACTTTCATTCCTATTAAAAGAAATTCTGAATTCATTTTAGGTGCAAAAAAAGTAAAGCGTTAAACAGCTCAAAGCAACGTACATGAAACAATATAATTTAGATTTTGAAATCCCTTGGGAGGGGTAAAGGGAGAGTTATACAAGGAACCATGGGAGTAAAGAGGAAGAAGGAGCTCAGGAGAGAGGAGAATATGGGAGAAAGGTAGTATCAAGGGTGAAATGGGGAAAATGGGGGTATTTTAACTGGGGAGGGAAGAAGGACAGTTAGTCAGGGAGGAAGGAGAGAGAAATAATGCTTAGATGGTGTAAAAAAACAGAGGGAAATTTATTAGTTCAAAAGCAAACTGAAAAATTACACATAAAATAACTCTACATGTGTCCATGTGTATAGCTGATGTACCATACAAGAGAAACCTCCCTTCAAGTTGTTAGCCAGGGTAGTTCAAGAGACTCCCAAAATCACACAGGCTACTGCCACAGTCCTTGATTGCTTCCCAGAACTTGAAGGTAAGACCCTACTGCTGAACAGAGGACATACTTTGAACACAGGACTTGGAACAATGGAGCTGAAATTGACCTGGAAGCCACCTCCCTGAAGGCTAGTTCTCATAGTTTTGGAGGACACTATGCAAGCTAAGTGAGAACATCAATTGATGGTACAACCCCAGCTTTAAGTCCTAATAACCACAACAACAATGACCAGCACAGCAAACAAAATTGGTGTAGTAGTGACACTATCATTTTCGGGATAATCAACAGCTACCCAATTGGACTTAAAGCATATTCAGTGGGAAGGAACTGATGTGTGGTACTGTAAACATAACCAAATACACATGGCTGGAGAGGTCATAGGCCTTAGAGAAAACTCTACATCTGTCACATTCCTAGACAACTGTAATTTCTTATTATATGCTAAATGTGAATCTTATATTTACCAACAAGTATGCCAGTCACCACTCATCAAAGAAGCTTCTTTTGCAACCGACAGAGACTATTACAGAGTTCCATAACTGGTCACACACAGAGAACAAGTATCTGTGAATTTCCCAGCCCTAAGTGACACAGCTACAATGGAACCTCTATACCTAAAGCTCACAGAACGTAGGAATAGGAGGTACAGAGAATACTAATGTATCTCTCAACTCTCATCTACGAAACTCCCTCATGCAACGGAGGCCACAAATGGCCAAAGCATAGAGAATGTGTGTAGAGTGAGGGTTCTTGGACAGGACTCCTATATTAAAATAGTCTCTGACCCAGGGCTCAGAGACTGTTTCTGAAAAGAGGGTAGAAAGACTGTAAGAGCCAGAGGAAATAGTGCATGATCATACAGAAATAGAGTCTTACAGACTCCTGCAACCTTGGTCATACGAATCTACAACAATGATGTCAGCATGCACAAGACCTATGCACACTCAAGCAGTCAAAAGCCCAGCACAGAACTGGGGAAATGGGCAGCAGGCCCCAATCTTAGCTGAAGAACTATTGGTAGCTGATTACTCCTAGGTGAAAAAGAGCTGATCTTTAACGGAGTGACTCTAGATAGGCTGACTAGACCCCAGTGGGTGACCTTGCACTGAGGGATGCCTGGGTAGAGTAACTTGACTTGCTAGGCCTTGACATAAATGACAGAATGCACAGAATCCAAGGCAGGGGCTGTGGAAGGGTTCGTATGGGGGCAGGGTATAAAGATGATTAAGACATTGTGTATGAAATGCAAAAAAAAAAATAAGAAAATTAAAAGCCCTCAAGAAATAAGCAGTGAATTTTAGGATGCGACTACACAAAAATGAAAGTTTTGAGTAACGGAATACATGTGATATAAACGTGAAAACATGCTGAGGGAGGAAGGCTGAAAAGGGGGCAGAGTAAAGGGTGAAGGGAAGGGCAAGGGAGCAGCAAAACAATATAAGAAAAAGCTGTGATTCCTTTACATGCCAATTAAATAAATAAGAAAAAGAGACAAAAACTAAAACGACGTTTGATTTTTTTTTCCTTGATTGTGTCTTCCTGTAGCCCCAGCTACCCTGGAGCTTGTTATATAGACCAGGCTAGTCGACAGTTCCACAGAGATCTTCCTACCTAAACCTTACAAATGCTGGTATTAAAGGCTTCCACGTCACTCCTGGCCTTAAAAAGACTTTTGAACAAGAACAAAAAATGAACAAAATAATTGCACAAAATACACAATGGGAAAAATATTATGTAAGAAAATTTAGTAACTTTTAAAAAATCCTATCTGAGCATAGTGGAGCACACCTGTAATCCCGTTAAACAAACCATGAGTTTCAGGCCAGTCTGCTCTACACACTAAGATCATACCTCAGA